CGGTCTGCATGGGGGTCTGTCCTGGAGGAGGATCGAGCAAATTTACAAAGCGCCGAGAGCAAGTGCACTGTGGTCCATCTCGAGGTGGCAGATAACTAGTTTTTCCTTTTCTGGGCAGCCTTTCTCTTCTTCTGTCGCTTCTTTTTTCCTATCTTTTCTTTTTTCCCCACTTTTTCTTCTCTGCGCCCCCTTAGATAAAATTAGTAGAACCATTAATAATGTGGAAATAAACAAAACTTCGTCTCAGTCTGCATACGATTTAACACTGGCCCATGTACCAGTTAAACTGTGCTTTCAGTCTCAGACCTGGAGGCCCCTGGTCAAAGCACTGTTTATCAGTGATTTACTAAGATAAAATTGGACATTTCCTTCCATTCAAACAAATGTTCCATGGGCTCCTAGAACACCTTTGTGAATGGGTTACAGTGACTGCCAATCTGCCAACCTGAATCTGGTTCCCACTGGGGACAAGGAATCCACATCTCAGGGTACACCCAGGGCCAGGCTGGCCATCGTGGTCCTTGTCACCTTGTCCTGCCCTGCTCTCATGGGACTTTTTCTCCTCAATGCAGGGCTGAACTCTTAGCTTTCTCTAAGAAATGCCTGCATTTGGACATTTGGAGGCTGCGGGCCCCAGGTTCAGACTGCCATTTGGAAGAGGAGAAAAAAGGCAGTGGTCCCACCTTCCCCTTTCTAGACGCCTGTGAACCCTCCTGGGAATGAATGCAATTGTTCTGGAGAGCAAGGGAGAGAGCTGGTTAGCAGATTTTTATTAGAGCAACTGGCTCGTGACTGTCACATTAAAATGATTCAAGCTGAATGGTATTTAATGATTTATGGGGTGAGGCCACCTGTCCCTGTGAAAGCTTGATATTAACCACGGCCTGGAGTCATGGGATTTTTACATGGGAAAATGTGAAAGGTTGATATTACTAGGGTTGAGTCTCTGGGGATTACATGGGGATGTTAGGAGAACCGAGGAGGAGGAGGGAGGGAAGAGGAATTAGTGAGTCAAATATTATTCTTCAGAAAACCAGCACTACTATTTCAATTGGGTTTAAAAAAAAAAAAAAGATCCAAAAACTTGAGCTGCAGATCTAATCTGCTCGTGAGAAAAAGCCCATACACTGTCACACATGGGCTGTGAGAAGGGGTCTCAGGCACCTGACCACAGGCAGGCTTAACTGTATAAACCAGAAACGTCTATGAGCTCCATCACTAACAACTAATGAATTTTATTTCAGGTAAATAAATTCCCACATACAGTAGGAGGTTTATACCATGAAACAATTAGCATTTTATTGCTAGTGCATATAATGTCACATTTGATACAATTTTAGTACAAGTGAAAAAATACACTGTGGCTAACATTGAAAAGCTGCAATCACATTTATATATCATATATATTTCTTTACAAATTGCCAGTAGTTTGAGATAATAGAGAAGTATAAACTACTGACATTCATATGGCTCCACTTCAAATATATGAATTGTTCGACTATAAATATATTCTGAAATACATTTGTTTTCTAAAGAAACGTAAAAAAAATGTGCACAAAAATATATATAAAAATGCCTTGCAAAAAGTTACAAATAACACCAGGACCATCTGTGGATCGCATTTATGCATGGAAATGTCATCTTGCCAACAGTTCTGATTGGAACCTGAAACCCTGCTGTGGCTTCAGGGGCGGGCAGTGGCAAGATGCTGGTTTATTCATTGATTTTTTCACTTCTGATTTCAGAAACCTCAGAGTTTGTAGTGCCTCCATGGCATACATAGGCTTCAGAGGCAATCACAAAACCAAATCGCTCAAAGCGAGCTCTCAGATTTAAAATTGCGTTTGATTCTGTAAAGACTTGTCTTTTGTGGGTAAGCAGGGGGACCATCACACATCCCCAGGACAGGGCCAGCTCCATTCGGGAGGAGGCCAAAGATAGATCTCACAGAGGGCCCGAGCTGGGGAGCAGGCCCTGGGAGGAGAGGGATGCAGGGCACGAGCCCCAGCGATCACCCTCTTCCCGGCTGGTGCGGCGCTGATCAGGCTACAGAAATGAGAAGCAGAAGCAGGATTAAGCATGCTCTCGGAGTCGGGGAGAGGGTGGGAATAGCTGGGAGAGGGGTCTCTGAGCACAGTCCCAGTGACAGTGGCTTCTACATGGAGCCCACAGAGCCAATCATTGAGGTTGAAAGAGGAGGTGAAGGCGGTGGCAGTACCTAGCCCCAGTTGGTATCTGAGAGCCACAGAGGCCTTCCTCCTGGGAGGGGCGCTGCTGCAGGAGCCTCAGCGTCTGGAGGAAGGATACTTTTTGTAACTCCCTGTTGAGCCACCACCTGACTGTGCCCAGACTCCCCAGGGGAGCAGAGGAGATGCTCCAAACAAGCCAAATTCAGATCTTAAAGTAATCGTTGGTTTAAAAAATGAGAATGAGAATGATGATGATTGTGATGATCATGAAGGAACTAACTGCTTGGAAATGCTGTTGATAATACAATTTCTTTCTTAGAAAAACCCCAGTAATAAAAGCTCCAACGTGCACGGGTACAGGGCATGGATGAATACAAGCTGCAATATCATACCGTACGCTATAAATGCGGTGTCTAAATGCTGGCAAACCTCAGGCCCGATCCCAGATCAATGTGCCCACCCCACACACACACCCGGTCCTCATGATTAAGGCCCCCTCCCCCACATCTTTGCCCTTTCATCTCTCTCAAAGTTTTAGTTTTCCTCAAGTGGGTCTAGCGGAAAGTCCTTTATGGCTGTTGTGCTTACTTGTTTAAAGCTTTATCCAGGTACTCCTGAATCCACTTTAGCTTCGGGTCAATGCACACTTGTCTGTTGTTGTTCTTCAGCCGAGCTCTGTGAAAACAGAATGGCAACAGTGTGCGGCTGCACAGGAGGAAGGCGCTGCTGCCCTGTGTGCATCCGCTCCCCCAACACCCATCTAGGGCCCTTGCTGGCACCCCGTGCTCCACTTGGCATGCTCAGGCTCCAGAGGTGCTCGCGATGTGCTGGGGAAAGCTCAGCGCTGGCAGTGCAGGAAGTTCCATTACAGAGACATGGAAATGTGAACAGAAGTCTTTCCGTGGCAGTGCAGGGGGAATTCATGTAAGGGAGCATTTGAGCTGTCTTTGAAGGGTAAGTAGGAGCTTGGAGAGTAAATAAAGGGGAAAGGAAAATCAGAAGCAAATACGCCAGGGGGGTTACAAAGCATGCAGAGGACACTGAGGAAGGGGAGGACAGGATGCTCTAGGCGCCTGTGGAGGGGAGAATGGAGAGCAACAGATGAGAGGTTTATTTGGATGGGTCATCTTGATAGACATAGGGCTGACTTAAGGATGGGCGTGAGGAAGCCTGGAGGCAGGAGGCCTCCAGAAGTCACCGCAGTCTGACCAGGAGGGTGACCAGCCAGGGAGGGGAGGGGCAGTGCAGGTGGCTTACCAGAAAATAGTTTCTAGAAAGATTTTACAAGTTCACTGAATGTTTCTTGGTCTCATTTGTTTTTAAGTTCACACTCTCAAGAGCTACCCTACAGGCAAACTCCTGGGGAAGGCCTGATTCATCTCTCTGGATCTCTTGCCAGAAAGCCCGAGGTGCCAGGGAATGTCACACAGCCCAAGTACTTAAGGGTCTTGAGGACAGCTAAGCCCCAGCACAGTGGCTCAGGGGCACCCAGGGAGTCTTCAAGTCCATTAGGTGAAGAGGGTTGCAGAGGTGGGTGTGGCTCGGAGCAACCCACATTGGGGTGCAAATCTAGGCCCTGCCATTTGTTAATTTAGTGTCTGTTTAGACCTGAGAATTGTATTTGGCATCTTCAACTTCAAGCAGGTCCATGCTAGCTAAATTCAGTATCTTTAAAATACTCTTCACAAGAGATAAAGTATCATGTTGTAGACAAAGTACTGAAAATATATTCATCTTCTAGGGCCCTAAAATATACTGTAAATAACAAACACATTCAAGGCAGTAAAGGGTGAACTCAAAACTAAAAACAGTTTTCTAAAATCAAAACGAAAAACTGTTGGTGTCGGGTGGAAAAGTCTTTGGGAATTTGTAGCTTTGGTTCCAACTGCTGTCCCCACTCCATTTTTTGCACTAGGACTTCTGAGCAATCAAATCCTCTCCAAGAGACTCCCCGAGCCCTTGCTTCCCCGTGTTCAGACACAGGACCTCGTGAGCATGAGAGGGCCAAGCTATAGGCTTTCAAGCACATGGCTTTCTTCCTGCACTTCTTGCAGTTTTCTGCACCCAGCTGAGATTCTCCTGTCTTGTGGATGTGTGATTTTGGTCTTTGTTTCCCAAATGAATAAAATCAAATGTTAGCGGCTGCCATCCACACCAAATAACACCAAAACCTCATATGCTGTACTTGAGAAAATACAGGTAAGTGAGCTGAAAATGTTGAAGTTTCACCCAATGGTTAAAGAGGACTTAAACTGACTTTAGGTCTTGTAAGTTAATGTAGGGCATCGGATCCCCGAAACTGGCAGGCCATTTATCACTGTTATTAGCTAAGGGTTGGCTAATTTAGTAGGCTTCAGTCAAAACCTTGGCAAAGCCCATAGTTTCTCCAACATCTAGCTGTGCTGTGCTGAAGAAAGGAGGTTTGGAAAGAAGAGAGAACTACTACAAGCACAGCAGGGTGTGCAGGCCAAGAACAGCTTTTAAAATTCATGGCTGGTGGCACACTAAAGGTCCTCATGGTAAAAATAGCTGCCACTAATTATGCCAAGTTCAAGGTTGGACACTTGGCTTATGTTACTTCTACACCTTTAACAAGACTTGGGTTTACACCTTTAACAAGACTTGGGTTAGATGTTACTATGTTCGTTAGATGCAACTTTGTTCGTTAGATGATGTTCAAGACTTACACAATCTGAAGGGCACAGTTCGGAGTGTTGAGAATTTTGAGATGCTTGACGTTGGCTCTGGCAACATGGCTTTCGAAGAATCGGCACGGGCATCTGTAGCTCAGGCTGACGGGCTTCCCTAGAAGAGGTAAGGAGAACAAGGCACTTGAGTACCCTGCCAGATTTTGGTAATGTGTGCCTGGGTCTGTAGCAGTTGGTGCAGCCATTAAGGATCAAGAGATGGCATCACCGGGGTGAGTTCCAGGTTACTGGTGCATTTTGGGAAAGGCCATCTCCTCAGGCAGCACAGTGAGTTCTGGCTAAGCTCAGACTCAGCTTCTACAGGGCAAGGAGACCAACAGGCCTGGGGAGAGCTGGACCCTAGATGAGGGGGGAGATTAAATTAGAAGCCACCTGCTCAGTGTCTTAAGGTAAAGGTAGTAATTATAGGAGATAACGGTTTCAGTCCAAGGTACTGAGATTCCCAGTTACTCTTTGTAAAATAAATTCCTCAAGGGACAGCTGAGAAAGATCTCTTTACTCAGGGGAAAGGAAGGGGGACAAGAGGCTCCAGGCTCTCTGGCCTCTCTCCTCTGGCCCAGGCCTCTAGCCAGGAAGCACAGTAGCGCTCAGGAATGCTGCCCTCCCCAACCCACAGCCCCCTCCTCACATTCACCTAAAGCTCTGGAAGGCACAAAAGAATCCTGGCTGGCTTCCTACCTGTGAGTCCCCTGAGAGCAGGCCAAGGGCCCACCTTCTGCCCAGCACTTCCCCCAAGGCTTGGAGATTAGTGGAGCTGGAGTCAAATGTGGTTTTCATTGCCTAGGCAGGGATTCTGTAGCCTCAGGAATTGTATTAAGATCTTTACAAAATCACCAATTTACAAAATGCCATAATTGACACTCATTAGTGTAAATTAGCAAGGGGCTCCTGCAGAACCCACTGCTCAACCTTTAAATATAGAATTGCAAGCCCTGGAGGGCTGGGATTTGTGTGTGCTTTTTGTTTTTTTGTTTTTTTCCTTGCAGATTGTATCCAAGCCCCACTTAATACCCCAAATTATTTGAACTTGTGGATCCTTTCATCAGAGATTAAATGTATGTCCAAGAATATTTAGTCCAGAGTTTTTTTTTCTTTTTTCTTTTTAAGCTTGCCTGTTTACAAAGTTCTGAGAGGCCTCTGTCTGAAGTTCTGCACCTTTGGGAAAGAATGCTGGGGAAGCAGGAAGAAATCTTGAGAAAGGGGCTCATTTTATTTTATTTTTTTCTACAGGCTGCAATCAATTGAGGGATGATGTGGACTAAGAACAGCAGTGTGTATTTAGCCACCAAGTTGCAGGAAAAGGGGACCACTTGTCTCCCCACTTCCTTGTCCCCGGGACCAAATGCAACTCCCTGAAACCCAGGAGAAAGCCGAACATCAGGTTGCTGGTGACTCACGGCACTGGAGAGACCCAAAGCAGCCTTCACTTTTGTACCTGATCTAACTCCAGAAAGGCACCTCTGGGGCTCGTTTCCAGCAGCTGCACTGGGACCCTGCAGGGGAGGTCAGCACTGCACTGTAACCAGATCACCTGGGAAAGCCACCACCAGGGCCCCGGCCTGCAGCCTGGGTAACTGAGGAGCTAAACGCTCCTCTCTGAGTGTTGTGCCTCCAGGTTTCCCTGGATTTCTTTTGGGCCCTTCCAAGCTGAGGCAGGGGGTGGGTGGGGGTGGACAGGAGAATAGGAGCCCAGTAGTGAGGCACAAGCCCCCCTCCACCCCGCCCCCAAGCAACAGTGAGCTTGAAGGTATGCATCCAAGGGCAAATGCCGCAGCCGCCCCCGCTGGGGTGGGTGGGGCTGTGACTCTCCAGCGCCCAGAGAAGAGAAGCTCCTCTGGCTCCCCTAATCAAGCAGCGGTGCTCAGGCCAGAAATCAGAACCTATTCAGAGCTCAACACACAGGCGCTCTCTCCTCTCCCCCTACACCCCCTGGGATTATCCGTTTCCTTCAAAAGCAATTCTTGTTTCTACTCTCAGGACCTAGCGCCCGCCTGTCAAGCAGCGAATTTCAACAGGTCTTTTTAAAGTGACAGAGCCCCCAGGTGTGCTTACCAAAAGAACAGGGTTTCGTGTGCACCTCCTGTGCTCTTTCCTCCAGCTTTTTGTCAGTAAGACTAACTTTCCCAACCGTTCTGGATGTAAATCCGTGTACTGGCAAAAATCCTGACTGGCTCTGATGGTACCCCGGATTTGGGACCCAGTGAGCTTGGCTCCAGGAGTTTTCAGAAAGCCTTCCAGTCTAATGCAGAGACAGGAGCCCAGCTGGCCCCTCCAAGCAGGCTTGGGAAGGGGGCCCACCCTGAGTTTAACCCCGGGAAGCCCAGGAGCCCAGCTGCCTGACGGAAGTCGGCCAGTGGGGGAGGGGGCAGGACCCCTGGCCGAGCTCTCTCTGTAGTTCAGCTTTAGGACTAAGTGTGGGGCCAGGGGGAACATAGGCACAGCGAGATGAGGTGGGGGGGCGGGGAACAAGCATTCTGGCGATGTGTACAAGGAGAAGCAGACCTGCCTGGAGCCTGGCCCCTGCCCTGGTTACTTGGCTGCCAGTGGGGCAACTCTGAGGGCCATGTCACCCTTCCCAGGCCAAGAGGAGTCTGGGACGGACCCCACGTCTCTGTGCTTCCCCCAGGTCAGCTGCACCCATAACTCAAGGACTGGGGTGCCTCATTCCAATCCTCTCTCTAGCCCTCTAGGGGAGGGGGCAGCACCGTTTCCCAGAGCGGTGCACTGTGACACCTCCACCCTCATCCCACCTCTCAGTCAATAACCGCCCAAACCAGAGCCCTTATAGGAACAGAAGAATATCCAGCAATAAAATCTAGAAACATGCCCCATGACTTGGGGGGTCAGTGTGGAGACACTGCCTCAGGGACTTTTCAACAACGACAAACATTCCCAATTGCCTTCAGTCTGTGTCCTGAACACTTCTCAGGCAGTCCGCCACGACCCCGGGCGGCCCAACCTCTCCTGCGCCGCTCAGCTGCGCTGGCCCTGCTCACATCAGCGCGCAGTCCACGGCCAGCGAGGACGCCGGGGCCGCGTCTGCACGAACCCAGTCGAGGGCCTGAGGCGCGCTGGGCCCGCACAGCCCGCGGCTGCAAGAGCACTCAGGGTGTCCTTCAACTCTTTGCAGGAAACTTCGCAGCCAAGGAAGCGCAGCGGCCTGAGCCACAGGGTTTCGTCTCGTGTGTTCAGAGGCAATAGTTTATTTTGGTTTGCAGCGGTGTCCTATGACAGGGCAGCGAGTTTCTCTTCAGCGAAAGAAAAGAAAAGAGCCCTCTCCCAGTGAAACGGGACACCAAGGTTCCCAGTGGCTTAGGGCCTTGGAGACTGAACTTTGCTGCAGCTCTCATTCCAGGGCAAAGCGCTTGGCCGGCTGGTGACAAAAGCGCCTGTCTGCAGGTGTGTTTGGGGATCTGGGGAGGGGGCGTGGGAGGCCCGGAGGGTCCCCAGGCTTCTCTCGGGTGAACCCGAGAAGAGCCAGGGAGGTAGAGGCTGGACGCGCGCCCAGATCCGCGTCGCTGCGGACCGCGGAGCTGTGCAGAAGCGCGGCCTGGCGGGTGGCACAAGCCCGACAGCTGCGCCGCGCAGCCCGCCCGCGCCTGGCCCAGAGCCCCGCGAGGGTGTGGGGAGAGGATAGGCTTCGCAGGGAGCCGAGGCTGCGCGGCTGCGTCGGACCTCACAGCCTCGAGTCGCGGCATGAGGCGAACTTTGCAAAGCGCGCTCTCACCATGCACCCGCCCGACCTCCAGCACTGTGCTCAGCGGGACCTCGGAGCCCATTCGCCGCTGGAAACCGAGCCCCGCGCGGGAATGCAATGGCTGGGGGTGTGGGTGGGCAGGGGTCTGGGATCCGCGACTCCCCACCTCCGCGCCTTCCCGCGCCAGCCCCGAACGCTCCCTCGGGGCATTCCTGCCCAGTTGTCCCGCCTGACCTCGCTCTGCAGCCAGCCTGAGGTCGGGCGGTCGCTCTCTGCAGGTCACAAAGCCTCGGCGCAAAAGTAGCTTTGGACTCGACACCGCCGGAGCTCCCAACGAAGCTAGCTGCCGCCACCCCCACTGTGCCGGGCGGCTCAAACTGCAGGCGCAAGCAGAGGAGTTGCGGCTCTGCGCCGGACTGGAGCCGGAGCCCAGAGCCTCGCCAGGGCCTCCCCGCCGAGGGCACTCACCGTCGCTGAGGCAGAGCGTGGTCAGCACGAGGGCCAGCACGACCACGACCTTGGCGTTCATGGCGCTGGCTGGCGGGCTGACTAGCGCGGGTCGCGGGCCGGACGCAGAGCGGGCACTTCGGCTAACAGAGAGTGAAAGTGCGGCGGTGGGAGGCGCGCGCCGGGCGCTTTACATGCGAGAGCCAGGCGGGGCGGGGCCGGGCGCACCGCGAGGGGCGGGCCCGGAGCCGAGTGCTGGCCGTGGCCGGGGTCTCTGACGCTCTACTCCCTGGGCGGCGCCCCCCACCCCTCCCCCTCGCCCCTCCTCCGCGCCCGCTGTGCTCCGGGGCCGCAGTGCGCTTCGGCCTTTGACCTCAGGCTCCGCTGGGCCACGCACCGCAGGCCCGGTCTGCAGTGAGGTCCGCAGCCTGGGTGACGCCGGCTGGAGGGCCGCTTGTTGTCCCTGTGACAGGGCCCCGCTGGAGAGACTGAGGACCTTAGGAGGAAAGTGGGGCGCGCGTGGAAAGCTGCAGGATGGGGCCTTTCGATGGCAGGAACTGAATGAGAACCAATGAAAAGCAAACGAATTGCTCCCGGGGCTGAGGGACTGCTGGCGGCGGCGGTCCAAGGCAGCCGAGGGGGTCCTGCTTTCTGTGCGTGGGGGCTCAAGCTTGCAACCTGCCCGGCTAGCGGTGCTTGGTCCGCGGGAATGAGACCGGTCTTTGCAGTCAGCGTGGCTCGGACTCCAAGCCCATGGCGCCACCAGCCGAGCCTCAGTTTCCTCACTTGTACAAAGCAGAAGGCGCCGGCGGCCGTCAGTAAACGGGAATATAGCTTTTGTAGCTCCGACCTCTCAACTGTGAAATGAGCTAATCACAGGCCCACCCCGCGTTGTGGGACTGGGGAGATTCAATGAGACCCGCCCCACGCCGCGAAGTCCTCTGCATCGTGTCTGACAGGCAGACGGTACTCAATAAATGGAAGCTGTAAGTCCTTTAAACCTAAGTATTTCCTGCCTTACCCAAGAAAAGCTCCACGCGACCCAAATTGCTGAGACAAGAACTCCTCCCCCCGGACCTCCACCTCCTAGGACAATACTACTGGCGTCTGCCATTTGGGTCCAGAAAACTCTTCCCATGGAGCTGGCCCTCGGCGTTGCTTAGCTCTCCGGATACCACCGGGACACCTCAGATGGCCCCAGCCCGGCGGCGAAGGGAGGGTGCGGGCCGGCACCCAGGAGGCGCGGGGGTGAGGAGAGCGCCCCTTTGGGCCTCTCTTTGTGACCGCGGGCTGCCCCGGCCACCTCTCTGTGTCCTTCCCCGCACAGCGTCCAGCGGAGTGGGGTCAGTCGCCGCGTGCATCCAGGGGCCTGCCCTGGGGACACGTCCCTGGCCCTGGGGAGTCCTGGCCGTCGGGGAGTGGGCTGGCCCGCCAGGCCTGCGGTCAGAGGCTCCATTAGGCGGGGGCGGTCAAACAGGAGGCCGCGAGGGCTCCGGAACTCCGCTGGTGGGAATGGGTGTTTTCTGCGTGTTTTTTTTCCAAAACCACTTTGGTCGTTAGATGGCTGTGTGCCGGCACTCCATCCATCCAGCCATCCAACCATCCATCCATCCATCCACCCACCCACCCACCCACTCTGGGCACTGGGCTTGGAGCTGGGAACCCCACTGACTTGGCCCTTGCGCTTAAAGAACTGAAGGCAGTGAGGTCCAGTGAAGAAGACAACTGTCGGGCGTCCGCAGGTCTTTTCTGGGCTGGACGGGTGATCCTGGCCGCGTACTAGCAGTAGCGCTGGGGCTCTGGCGCCCCCTGGTGGCAGCGCCTCCCTCCCGGCTCCCAGAGCTCTGGCGAGCTCCATTCCTGCGCAGCTGGTGAAACCCGGGAGGGCGAAGGGGTCCACGGGAAATCTACACCCCAGCGGAGGGCCGCCCTGGAGTTCGGAGACCCGACCCCGCGGGAGCCGGGCGGCTTCACTTGCCCTTAAATCTAGCCAAAGCAAAAGCCACCGCCTCTCGCTGCGTCGTCTTCTTTTTTTTTTTTTATTTGCCACAAAATCAGGTGGGCAGCTGGACCTAGGATCTGTTCCAGAAGCCTGAAAGGCCCGCGTGGGCTGAGTCGAGAGCGTACCAGTGCTTCAGGCCTGGCCGCCGCCCCTCCTGCAGGCGCCCTGTGGCCCCAGAGCAGCAGCTAGTGTGGCACCCATCGGGGCCATCCCTTCCGCTAGTCGTTCGTTGAATACTTACTGAGCGGCACCCATCGGGGCCATCCTTTCCCCTAGTCGTTCGTTAAATACTTACTGAGCACCCACTATGTGCTAGACCTGGGCTACATGTTTGAAGTACTTTTAAAAAAGGCACTAAACGTTTAGAAGCACATGGCACTAAGCCTAAGTACGCACAAAATACTTAGAAGGTCATTAAATGCTAGAGAAAGATGCAGCACAGGAAAGTGGGGTGGGAGTTAGGATTTTAAATAGGATAGCCAAGGATCCATATTTTAGGTACAAGCCTAACAATTTTATAATTTGGCGATTGAAATTTAAAACCCTGTACATTCTGGGGGCCTCTGCACCGCCTGCACAGCAGGCGGCCATCAGACCAGGCCATTTTAACATGGCTCCAGCTCACTGGGCCACAGGGGCACCTCTCAAATTTGGGTCAGCGAAGCTCCCCACCCTTTTCTCTGTGTCCTGTGCTTATGCTTATGCTCAAAAGGTTCTACCTTTCTTTCTCTGCCTGGGGACTCTTATTTCCCATAGAGCCCTACAGCAACCCACCTTCTCCCTGAGGTCTTCAGACTCTGTGCCGCTCTGCCAGGTAATGCAGGGCACTGCGGCTCCTCAGGGATGCCTTGTTAAGCACAGTAACTTTGGTACTTTCAAAGACCAAGCTTGCAGAATAAGTCCCACTGTCTCAACTTTGAAGACATGGAGTCCAAGTCTCCATGGGCTCTGAGCCCAAGGTTCAGAGCTGAGGGCCTTGGCCAACATAACAGAGCCAGGCAGGAGCAAGGGTGCATCTCTCTGGGGCCAACATCTCTGGATCCTGGAAAATCAGCCAGGCCCTGGAAGCACGCTTGGGGACATAAGTCACTCCCATGGCAGTCGTCCAGGAAGCCTTTTGGAATCCCGTACCCAGGGCCAGGACTTGGCATTTGACCAGCTGGCCATATTTTTCCCATCTAGATCCCCACTGGCCTCAAGAGCCAGTTGCAAACAGCCCCAGGTTGCCCTAGAGGGAAGGACCCCTGGGAGACAGAGCTGGTCCCCACTGGCTCTGGGCACATGTGTAGGCAAGCAAGGCACACGGTCAGGGTATGTGCATGTACAGCAGGCCAGGACTTCTGTCTGAGCAGGTCCTGCCCAAAGACTCCCTTGCTTGACAGTGCTGAGGCAGGGGGATCTGAGAATGTAAGAATGACAAACTCAGTTTCTCCTTACTCTCATAACACAAAATACTTCTGTTACTTCAGATGTGTGTGTGTGGTGGGGTGGGGTTTCCCCACATACAAAGCCAGTAGTCCTTCAGCTGCAGACACCAGCTGGCTGTCCTCTAATTCAATTCAACTCTGAAACTCTACCTGGAGGTAGGCTCAGGCCCCACAGGTTGAGGCCCCAGTGCCACAAGGCTGCCCCTACTTCAGATACCAGTTGCAAGCCCTGGGTTGTTTTCCCCGTGCTTCTGACCAAATGACCATAAATTAGGGTTTCTACGACACCATCCTTGGGTTTCATTAATTTGCTACCACAGCTCACGGAGCTCAGGGAAGCACTTATGTTTACTGGTTTATTAAAAAGAGTATTATGGACTGGGCGCGGTGGCTCACAGCTGCAATCCCAGCACTTTGGGAGGCTGATGTGGGTGGATCACTTGAGGTCAGGCGTTCGAGACCAGCCTGGCCAACATGGTGAAACCTCGTCTCTACTAAAAATACAAAAATCAACTGGGCTTGGTGGCAGGCACCTGTAATCCCAGCTACTCGGGAGGCTGAGGCAGGAGAATCGCTTGAACCCAGGAGGCGGAGGTTGCAGTGAGCCAAGATCACACCACTGCACTCCAGCCTGGGTGAAAAAAGCAAAACTCTGTCTCAAAAGAAAAAAATAAGGGGGGTGTTACGAAGGCTACAGAGGAAGAGATGCACAGGGTGAGGTTTGGGGGAAGGGGACATGTAGCCTTCATGCCCTCTCCGGGCACCATCCTCCAGGAACCTCCACTGTCCTGAAGCCCTCTGAACCAAGCTCTGCTATATTTGTATA